CAAAGATATATTTGAAGCAAATGACATTTGATGAAAAATAAAATACCAATTACAAATATTTAAAACTTCTTAATTCCAAAAGTTTCCTAAAAATTAATTAATTTAAGATGTAAATTTCATAGTGCGTATCAAAAATAATCCAGTCTATTTTTTGAAAATTCTTTTTAAATCCTCAGAAAGTTTTCATTTCCCTCACTTTTTCTATTATCAGCTGGAAATAATATTGATTGATTTTTTTCATACTGCCTGAATCCAAATTAATCGACTTCACGAATTTCCTCATTCCTATCATTTTCGACATCGTTTTCCAACTTTAACTACGCTTCATCCGAAAATCCGAGAAATCATATCCATAATATTAGTTGAAATTCATTGTAATATTTGCATCATTCGCATAGCACGAAAATAAATGTATCTTATTAAATCGAATAAAATCGAATGCAAAAACGAATTTATCGAAAATAAGAAAGAACATGTGAGTATGTTTCTCGATTAGTTCATAGAAACTGAGAAGTGCATGAAATATTCTTAGTTGGAGTTAAATAATTTGGATATCGCTAAGTTTCAATGCAATATCAGTTGCATAACATTTTACAGCGAACGTTAATTTTCAGTTAAGTTAATAATGGATTTGAACAGTTAAGTTTGAGGAAAAAAAAAAACAAATTTTTTTGAAATCAAACATAAAATGTGAGAGCAAAAAAATGGATAAATTACGGTAAGCGTTGTAGGAGGGAAGGAAGTTCTCTACATTGATAGTGGTCAATGGCATATAGTGTGGTCAATGACAAATAACAACAGTTAGTGATGGCTAGAGCACATAACCATCTTTCACATTTGGCGTCCTTCATAAAAGCGATAGTTGACTTTTTTATGAAATACAACTCGAAAAGAATTGTGACATATTTATGATGCGTAATAGCTTAAGAAAATCCCTTGCAAACCGGAATATCTACTAAATAAACACTTTATTATCACTGAATTAAAATAAATCTTACCTAAGAGGTGAAATTAGTGGAGAGTAAAATGTTGTTCACAGTAACTGAGGTATTTATTAGAAGGCTAAATTTAAATATCAGTGATCTTCCCATCTTAGAAGAAATAACTGAAAGTTAGAATAGAAATAAGAGAAACTGTCAGCCAAGCCGGTTTCTCTTATTTCTGTCCTATAAAACATGCAATTACAATTACATTTTGATCCCGAAGAAGATAAAATTTTAGTTCTATTAAAACATTTGGTTTTTTTTTTTTTTTTTTTTTTGTTCTCTGGAACTGATGCAATTATAGCTAAGAAGAATTTAGAAAAGATATATTATTTGTTCAAACTTTTCTATTGCAGTACTTATCATAATTTGTTGAAAAATAAGATTGTTGAAGAAAAGAATTTTCCGACTTTATTCTCACAGCACTTTTCATTCAACTAATTTGGTGTATCTTTTATAATCTAAATATGATTATAATCCTCTTTGATTGACATCTTCGCCTCGTAATAGTCATCACTTGCACTGCCAATTTACAGTGACATTACTCGAAACATAATGAGATAATTGTCCATAATGAATTATGCCACTCTCTGTCAAATTCTTGTTGACATAACAAATTGTTCCATCTTTGAAGTTTTTTGTTTTTGAAGCCAATCACAATGAGATGAATTTAAAACGTTGGGAAAATATATCAAATTTGAAAAATATGCTAAATTGGTTATTTTTCTGCAGAATTGTGAGCAAAACGAGATCTCCGGTCAATACTTTATGAACTCCAAATTCTAATATTTATCTGCATTATTAAAAATACAATGATAAATAATGGTGTTGTGCACTACTGCTTATTAAATATATTGCAATAATTATTCCAGTTTGATGAAAATTAAACAAAATCTGTAATTTTCGATGAAAAAACAACCAAAAAATTACAATTTGATATAATATGAAAAAACAAAACAATAAAAATTTATATAGCAAGTAAAATGAATAAAAATATGATACCGCTACAGGTATTACAAAAGCGAGTAAAGGTAAAGGCAAAAGAAATAGAACAATGAAGCATATGGCAGTTGACATTCAAAAAAAAGGTTAAATAAATGAAGAGATGTGCACCGGAAAAACTAGCGTAGAAAGTACTTATTATATTAAATTCCTTCTCCCAAAAATAAATTCAATAAGTGAATCGAAAAATAATGATGGAGAGAACAAGTGATGAAGAAATGCACAGTAACATTTCGTCCGAGTCTTTGCCTTTGCATAAAATTCGAGGTAAGTTGAGAACAGTTTAATCCTCTAATCACCTGGAAACTAGGTAACCTGAGTTTATCACTTACTTTAAAACAGATTTCATTATAAGAACAAGTGGAAATATATGCAAATGTGGGAATTCCGGAAGAAAAAGCATAATGCATAAATTAAATTTGTCAAACATTTCTGCCGTCATCACTGTTAGTTCAGGTTTTATTAAACAAAAATAAACTCATTTAAATTATAATATTTAAACAAACTGCATAGCACTAACAAACTGTTTAATTTTTGTTTTTTAAAAATGCAGTTAATATCATTTTCAAAAGTGTGTTTGACATTATTTTAAAGAGCGGCGAACGATCTAATAATCATGTTTCATGATTATTCAGATACATCTCAAGTTGTAGCGGAGTCGGAATGATTATAAGCTTTAATATTTCAAATGTCTTAAACATCAAACATCTTAAGCTAAGTGAATGCTATTGCATCGGAACAATTACAATCATCATTATGAGAAATGACTTTTATCAGACTTCAAATAAAATGTTAAATTTGAATTTATTACAGATGCTTTTTCTCACTTAACGGTAACCACAACCAAACATTAATGGCAAAGCTTTTATTGCAAGACAAATCAGTGAAAATATTTGAAATATTCAATTTCGATATGACTAGTATATTCAGTACTGAATTTGCCCTTAAAAGTATTGCATGGTTATATTAGGGTAAATAGTAATTCAGTGCGTTGAATTTATTAGTTCAGTTATAATTCAATTATTCTTGCGCTTCTTTTCTTTTTTTCTTCAACCTCCTAGCAGTGAAGAGTCAAATACTGGACCAATTTAATTCAATAATTAATCAATCATATGGAAAATTTTTTGCTATTTAATGAGACTTACAAGACACGAATGCAAATATCACTAACGATTTCAGAAAATAATGTCGCTATATAGGTGTATTAGACTTAGAAGTACAGAAAATCTTTATTTTCAATGATGGTGATAAATCAATTCATTTTTACGTAAAATACATTCAAATTTTGTGAAATTTATCGAGACATGTCGTTTCACCATTCTATTAAATTCAATAAAACTTTTGGTTTTTATGAAATAATTGAAGTTTTTTCTTCAATCAATTATAATTCTGGGGGATTTGATATATGTATATATAATAATAATAATAATAATAATAATAATAACTTCCACAAACTTCTGGGAAGTGAACGTATAATAGAGAAAGAGACAACTGATCTTTATCAATCTGTTAAGTTAGCAGAAATTTTTACTATTTTTTTCTATTTCGTCGCAACGTTTTATTATTATGTTTATTCAGAAAAATGAAAAAAAAAAGGAAAACAAACTCGTTTTCTCATATTTTTTTATTTTTTTAATTAACAGTTTTGGACTAGTACTTTTTAAAACATCGCTAGTTGTTTGCTGATATCATTAAATGATAAATATAATCATTTGCTGTGTTTGGAGCAGATCGACGTAGTCGATTATTTCAATTAATTGGTGAAACAAAACAAACTCTTTTGCATATCTTTTCTGATTTCTTCACTTATTTTTCTTTTTCATCAATAAATATTCTCAACAAATATGAATGAACTAAAACATAAATTCACATTACTATTACAGTTTTCTACTTTCATTGCTAACAATTAATAGGGAATCGCAGGACAATGTCGCAGGTAGACAATGTCGCAGGTAATTTCTAAGAATTCGCATTGTTGTATTAAAGGATGAAACAATAACAAGAAGCAATGAAGCAAAGTGAACATAGTGGAATAACACTTTCACATAGTTGCAGAAAAGCTCTCATTGGCGGATGCGTCCACTAAACAATGGCACATGGCACCGTGATTCCTTATTAATCTTTCTGTTATGCAAGTGGTAGGTATTTTAGGATTTAAATTAATATAAAATGTTGTGACACTCTCTTTGTCTCTGATTATACTAATATGAACGCTTAGTACCTCTAACATTTATCGGCGTTGATTTCAATTTTCATTTTTGGAATCATTCAGAAGAACTGATGAAAAGTTGTGATAAATATTTGTTACTTTGTTATTTAATTCGAGTAGTTTCAATTGAACGATATTTGATATCCATTTTATGTTTCAATATTAGTAAGAAAGAGTAAAATGCATGAAAATTGTAATTGTTCTATGTAAACAAAATTAATTCCATAGCGAAGATTTTAAACACAAAGCGAAAACTGAAATTTTACAACAAATTAATGTGTTATTGATAAAACAATTAGTGAAGGATAAAGGTTTCGATTTTATTAAGAGGAAAATGATGAGTTAATGTTGTAAGAGCTAACATAATAGTGGAATATTTGTAGTGAAATAAATTTGCATATTTCCACTCGGTTTAGTTCATCGGGGCATACTTGCATTGCACTGAAATTGTATGCAAATTTTTACATTTCTCGTTCATTGTTAGTTGATTCTTCCTCGTTGATTGGTTGGTTCGCATTAGAGACTATTTTCTGGTGGGATGAACTGCTGAAGCTGACTGAAGCTAAATTGTGCGAATTGACTACATTTCTTTAAGTTTTCTGTTAGAAAAAGATCTTGGATGGGAGGATAACTTCAAAGACTTTTAATTGCTAATCATTAGAGATCTTTTAGAAGATTTAATTGAAACGAACTAAATTATATGAAATATGACTTTTGTGTTTTAATCTACAAAGATAATGTAACTAACTGTATTTGCGTAGAATAATGTTTGTTCCGAGTAACTGATAATGTTTTCATGAAGGAATATGTATACAGAGCTAAAGGAACTGATCAATTTTCTGGCTATTTATATGCATCATCGAATTCCTCGGCGTCGGGTAGCGTTGTATTTTCTGTCTTTTTCCTTTTGATTTATTGATTAGCAGCGAATCAACAAATAACTTTTAATGGTGTTTTTTTCTTTTTTGGTGGGAGAATTTTAGTGGTTTATTAACACTTTGATAATTTGTATCATTTCAGATTTGTTTGCTCATGGAAAGTTACAGTAATCATCTTGCGGGAAGATTTTTGGGGAAATGGAAGCCAGAAGAGCCAGAATATGGTTAGCCAAATAGTTATAATAATAATTACAAAGTATTTATGTGTGTGTGTGTGAAAGGAGCATTGATATTCGTAAGTATTTTGATTTTCGATTACTTGCAAAAGGAAAATTGTTACATTTGAAATTATTTTAAGTCAAGGAGTATAATTTGAAAGTTAAAGTTTAATTTGAACATTTAGTATTTGCAGGAGAAAAAGAGCGAACGTTGATGATTAAAGCAGGAGATTGCCTAGACCAAATTCTCAGCACAATTGCAACAAGCATTGGGATTGTTGAAGAAGATCTTGCAGCGTGTTTTCCATGTTTGTTTCGCTTAATTCAGTCTATTATTTTTTTTTAAATTTTGTTTGTATTTTATCATATTTCTCTATAAAATTTAAAACTATAAGAGATGCTATTTGTTGAAGCACTAATGATAGCTTATTGCAACCCTGGCATAGTATCGTGCCAAGTGATGAACTATGCACATATGATCACTGTTTGGATGGGAGATGTTAACGCTGATGTAAATTTTACGCCTATACCAGATGGTATTGCGTTCTTCTGCGAAACCCCGGCTATACTGTACAATGTTTTGAATAGCAATGGCAACGTTATGGATAAAACAAGTAAGTTTTCAATTACAACAGGATTCTGTTGATCATGTACGGTGATTCCGCAATTTACTCTTCTGAATTCTCTTTTGGAAATTTCACGATAACTGATCATCATTGGTGAAGTTTTTAAGGAAAGAGGAACAAATGAAAGTTGAAATTTTGCAGAATATCCTTTCTATTTTGTTCCAAAAAACAAAGAATTGAAATCACAACGATGTATTCTATTGCAATTAATTAGCTCGATGGACGACTATGCTTACGATTTAGTTTGGAGTGGTTTTCTCTTCGAAAATGAGGTATACTTTTGAATTTTTGAAAGAAATGAAGTAAAATGAAGTGAGTCTCCAAATTTACGTTACATACAATTGTCATGCAGCTAGCTATTGGTAGTAGGTGGGATGGAAAAGGATCCTATATATCTAAAGCTCTTTTTATAACTCGTTATGATCCGTTCAATTCAGTTGTTTCTTCTGTAGGTACAGAATGCATTAGATAGTCTTATTTGATTATCCTATTATTTATAGATACCACCTTTGCTTTTCCGTTATATTACAAAAGAAAATTGTCCATTTACGGCACGCCTATTTGCGGATACACGTTTTGGTTGTCATCGATCACGTCCTGATCACAAAGCTATGCGTCGAATTCAACATGCTGCAGCATATTTAGCTGTCACCAACGATAATGCTGGCTATAATAGTGCTTCTGGTATAACTTAATAACTTCAAAAGTTTAGTTCATCTTAATTTACTTTATTCTCTTGGATTCAACTTTCACTTATTTTGTAGCAAAAATATTCAAATTTCAGGTAGCCATCAGGAAAGCGCTCAGTATGATATAAATCCAGCAACCAATAACTGTATGAATTTTTTTGTCAGATCGTCTTTGATATCATTAATGAAATTGCAATTTATAAATAGTAATAACTTTAGTTTGCTATAGTCAACAGCTCCACGCAAATAACAAATTTGCGCCTATAACTTCGCTCTCTGTTCCACTTGTGTCATCATCATCATCATCATCATCATCATCATCAGCAGCAGCAGCAACAGCCGCTTCAATTGGACAAAAAAACTGTGATACAGTGGTAATAAATTTTGAAAATTTCCAGTTTGTATCGCAGTAAGAAAGACAATTTTGAACAGAGAAAAGTGATTGAATTTTTGCAGAACTCAATGACAGCATCTGCAAATGTTATCACAAATACAGTAGCGTCAAATGATTCTAAGCGTCTTCTATTGGATCAATCGCTGATGCCTTCAAATCCACTGCCCGAATCCATCAGTAATAATGCTGGACACGTTGTTAATCAGTTTTATTCATTATCTCCAATCTTGGATAATGGCAGTGACTTCAGTGCATGGAATTGTTATCCTGCAGCAGGTGACATTAAAGTGGTATGACTTTTTCTTTACATTGTTAAATCTCGCTATTTTGATTTGCTTAATCTTTAGTTCTATGTACTTTCTGATGGTAGTTGTAATTTTCCAACTTTCGCTAAAAGTGGAACAATAAAAAACGATACTAATTGAGAAATTAGTAATCTGAGGATCGATAATTCTTGCAGGACAATGCGATTGCTAAGATTCCAGTATATGACGAGCGTAATAATTTCCATCTTATATATCCATATAGCTCCCCCCAAGCATCAGTTGCCGACAATTACAACAAATATTCACTTGAAACAGGTGAAATATAAAACACCAATAATAAATATTTGTGTTGATTTACTCATTCAAAACTTCTTACCCCAAAAACTTTCATAAAACAATTAATTTAAGTTGTAATTTTCACAGTGCGTTTCATTTTCAAATCATAAGAAAGTTTTCATTTCTCTCACTCGAGACTATTTAAATAAATCGATTTCAGGAACTTCATCATTCCTATCATTTCCGGCATCGCTTTCCAATCTCAACTGCGCTTCATCCGGAAATCAGGGAAATCAAATCCATAATGTTAGCTAAAATTCGTTGCAGCATTTATATTATTCGCATAGCATGAAGAAAATGTGTCTTGCAAAATCGAACTTTGTCTAAAATGAGAGCTTGTGAGTATGTTTCTCGTTAAGTGTGTAGAAACTGAAAAGTATGTGAAATATTTTTAGTTCGAGTTAAATAATTCGGATATGTCTAAGCTTCAATACAATGTCAGCCGCATGTCATTTGCCGATGGTGGTGCATCTCCATCGTCAACATTTGCCACCAAATAGTCCCAAAATGATTCGAGAAGAGCTTTAATGATTGCAAATCAAAGTTTTAAAAACAATTCGGCATTCTATTACAAATATTTGATGAATTTTTGTTATTACTAAGTTCAGTTCTCTTAATTACTTGTTTTCTTCTGTTAATTAATTAATTAATTTTTTTGTAATTATTGTGATATTAATCCTATTTATTAGTATTAAACTTATATAATATTGTAATATTTAATGATTGAAATTTAATGTGTTTCTATGTTCCTTTTGGGCTAACTTGAAAAGGACTGATAAATAAAATTTTTAAGAATTTTGATATTATGCTAATTTGGACACTAAGGCTTACCAATTGCTTTGTAGAAATAAAAAAAAAAAAAACCGAGCAAAGAAAATTTGCTGCACAGAAAAATGTCAATTTGGTCTTTTTTTTTCTTTTTTACAACAAGAAATCTTTTTTTTTTTGCAGTGAATAAACAGCAAGGTTGATATGAATTTTGATCAGTGAATCCTTTTTTATTCTATTCAAACACACACAATAAAAATTTTTTTTTTTTAAAGTGGCAATGATTTTTTTATTTAATAGTGAATTTGCAACAATACTCAGTTATTTTGCATAATTTCGTACAAATTAATTGGTAAATAGACTTTTTCTCGCGAAAATTCCAAATTCATTTTTTATCGCTTTTCTTTCCTTGAAAACAATTTTTAAAAAAGTTGGCATAACGAAATTGCGCATTCTTGGAATTATTTAGCATTTTTTACTTATTTATCCATTTATTTGATTTTTATTTTTTTGAAATTATAGTGTATTTGACAAAACAAAGATTATTTAACTTAAAAGAGAAACAAAACTGTTTCAAATTCACTTTATATTCGATAAGTAAAACAACTGATAAGTTGTATTGCGTCAATCAGCGTGATAATGGCAATTTTTTGAATACAATTTACCAGTGCTTTTCCGTTAGACTAAAAAATGGCAACTTTAAAGTTTATCAGTTTAAATTATCACTCATTAAAATATATAATGGCGTTTATATTTTTATCACAATTTTTTCTTTCATTAAAGGAATCAATAAGCGCTCCGCAACAATGACAAATGCGCAATTCTCATTTTTTACGTCACCATTATTGCTCTGCGTTCTCAGCACACTGATATTGTTAGCAACACCTCAGAGATTGATTCCGGTAATTTTTATAATTTCATATCGTTACAATGAGTGTAGTGAATGAGTCGTGTAAGACAAAATATTTTGGTTTTAAGTGAAAAAATTCAAGGAATCAGAAATTTATTGAAAATTTTTTATACATCTGACAACGAATTGGGCGAAAACGATGAAATTCCAATCAAGAAAACGTGGGTGGATTTGATGAAAACATTAATGTTGTGCGACAGAACATTGTTTCTATTGCAAGTTCATCGTGGAATACTACCATAGATAATGAAAGAAATGTGTGCTAAACGGACTTTTACGGATCGGATACATCAATGAAACAGTGTTACCATGGAAGTAAGTTTCTGAGATGTTTATTGCTGAGTAAAATTGAAATTTGTTATTGTCAACAGAAAATGCTTTTTGCTTCAGATGATTCCATGTAAGTAAACTGTGAACGCTGTCTCGTTTGCATTGCTTAATAAAACTTTTGTTGCAGCAGTGGTCGACCACTTCTGATTAGATATATTTGGGGAATTAATACTAACAATGGCAATGAAATTTTCGCCTTTGGAGTCTTGTAATGCTATAAAATTGTGTGACGTTTGTTGTTGAATAAAACTGAAATTTGTTATTGTCACTATTTTCGACATAAAATGGTTTTGCATCAGTGAGATTGATTTCAATTTCCATTTTGAAATCATTCAAATAACTGAGAAAGCAGACCATTTCAAGCTGACGCAATGCCCAATTAAAGTACTTTTTAGCTGAAAGTGAGACATATTTATGATCGGAGTTATAAGTAAAACAATCTAAGCGTCGCTGCAAATTTAGCAAGAACCGTGATCACAGAAACTTTCTTTTAAAAAATTTTAAAATTTGTAACCAAATTCATCATGTTTTCATTTTTCATTTCTGCAAAAGAATTTGCAAGCCTCAGTGTTCAGATTAGCAAAATATTAAATTTTTTTTTGCAAAACCAAATTATCAGTTTGTTAGGCTGAAAAATAGCGCCTTAGTGGATCGTCGGACTTAAAACGCCCCACAACAAAGAAAAATGAGACTTCTTTTTTTCTTTGATCAGTATCTTTTTTTTTCTCTTACATTTTTCTTGACTTTTTTACTACTCTTTTGAATTCTCTATAAATTCATATTATTAGCAACATCTCTGATTACTTGTGATAATTTTTGTGAAATCATTTGCTATCGTGATCGTATTGAATGAGAGATGAGCTTTCGAGAATTCTTAAGAAAACAAAAGTTTATGCAAATTTTCTCAGAACTTTGACGTATACGACTTAGTCAGTGGGAATAACGAGTCATTGGGATTAACACAAACGTTACTGAAAATTCACAGTTATTGTTTTTTCAAATTCCAATTTTTTTAAACAAATTAATCGGCTATTTGACAAATGTGTAACTATCAATTGTGCAGATGGCTTTAGTGCTTAAATGCAAAGATTATTGCCCTCATATTAATAATATTAATCAAACTCTTTTACGTAGGATCTCATAATAAATGCAATGGAACACTGCATATTCATATTTAAAGCGGCTGACTTCACAATCTCGGAGAAGCTGAAAACTAGCTATTCTATACGAGTAATTCCTAACGATCATGTAAACCTCGAAACATTCATGAAATTCATCAAAGCTGGAAATAAGAAAAAAGTCAAAAGAAATACTCGAAACATTCATGAAATGCGTTTGCTACAACAAAAATAAACAAAAACATTGAAGTGCAGCTCCGTCATGATTACGTGAAGCCTTGTATGAGATTTAGGTTGTCGTTAAATAGAGATTGATAGGATGTAGAGTGGGTACTGATATGAAGCTTGCTAGGATAGTGAATTTAATCTTATAAAATGCATATTGACTAACAAAAAGCGCACGATTACAATGATTTAAATAAAGATCTATTATTCTTGAATGATCTTTACCTATATATTAAGAGTTATGTTGATTGCTTATAAGAATGACTGACGACGGATTGGAAGATTGTAAATAGAATTGGTTTATAAGAAAGCTAAACAGTTTACAATCTTTTAACCATTGAATCTGTCAGATTGGAAAATAGTGATAATAAACTGGAAGCAATATATAACAAATTAAGCATTTCATATATTCTTTGCTAAGATTGTAATTTTTTAGGCACCATACATACACATATACTTGTTGTAATTGGAAGATGAATGTTGGATAATAAATGGTTTTTCATTTAAAACTGAAACAGTTTTATATTTCTCTAACAAATATTCGATGAGATAGTTTTAAATTTGTATCCTTTCATTCACTCTCATCTGAAACGAAGAGTCTTTTAACCTTCTTACCCAGTCCTGTGTCGGTCCAGTCGTATTTCACTTGTCGCGATTGCTCACCCTCATCAAACACCAATTGAGAACTCTAATACAATATATTTGTGAAAAACATACTATCCTACTTTATATTTCTTTGAAAAGCACATTGATCGTCCTGAATTATTTGCTCTAGATCCTCACGTACTTGACCGATAAAAAACACGTCTAGAAAACAAATTTTTGAAGTGGTCGTATAATGTCATTTCAAAAGTTTTTTCTTTTTTTTTTTAATTTTAAATCTACTGATGATGACAATCATCTTTTTTCCGAAACGCCATGTATGCATCTGCATATGCTGATACCAACCTTTTATCTATGGTGAACCAAGTCGACTTGTTCCGGAAAGCTTGCAACATTAGCGCTAACTCCGGAGCTATAGCACGGAACAGAATTTAATCGTACATTTCTGATTAAAATATAGTAAATTAAACACAAATTTATTATTTTAGAGGAATTTCAAGTATTTTCGAACTAATTTAACTGTTTAATATTTCTCCAGAGTTGTTAAAAATAGCACGAGCTCTCAATCGGTTCACTATGCTCTTGTCAGCAAAATTTTTTATCACTGATGTTTCTGACATTTAGGGCTTCCCGGTGTCATTCCCATAATTTCTTTTCCTACTGATCAGTTTCCTACAATCTCCTTTCATCCTTCACTAAGCAAGCATAGAGTAATTCATCTTATTGAAATGTAGCAGTGGTTACTATGCTTCGCTAAGTATTCAAACAATTCTTACGAAACCACGAAAGAACTACTCAAATTCACAATTCATACAAAATATTCACTTGAACGAACACCATTTATAGGAAAAAGTTGCAGGAAACATTTAATTCATTATACTATTGTCCATCTCATTTTATAAGTAAGCACATTATAGTTCGTTCTTACCAGGCAATAAACTTACAGCAAAAAGAGAAGGTCACATGATAATGAGATTCAATCCTTAATAAGCTGTCTTTTCTTCATGAGACAGTTCACTTAATGCGTTTTCAACGATGGTGGCTGCACTATGATTTAAAAAATTGCTCGATTAAAGACAAGAGTGAATTACTGACAGTAGTTGACATCTTTCAGGTTGATTGTTCAAGCAGCAGCACTTGTACCTCTTTTTCAGGACAGGTCTATCTATTGTTGTGACGAGTCCACCGTACAGCAAGATCTGAACGACGATGGTCTTCCATCTCGAAGACGTGACCTTACCATAGCCTCAATTCCCATTTGTTAAGAACGATTATATAGTCACGTGCTCAGTGTAATGGATCTTTAAGATGATGTGGAAAAAGCACTGATGGAACAGTTCAATGTACGTACGTAACTACCAACATTGCAATGTAGAATTCCATTTACATCTACCTCAGTTTCCTGTGGAACTCTTTGCTCCTTCGGTTGATTGGTTAATCAAAATAACAATTTTTGGGATACTTTCCAACTCAGTTTTTATTTTCATTATAATAATGAACTATTTATAATTAAATTCGAGATTGGAATAAAGTATAATTAAATAGCAGCTATGAAATTCGGAAATCTTATTGTATGATGACATATGATGTTTTCAGAATCAAATTAGAAAAAGTATGTCAAAAGTTGACATCGACTAATTGATCGAGGAATCTTATGCAGAAGATTTTCTTTTACCAGTACTACTGTCCTCGAATGTATTGACTGCCAGATATTTTATTTTGCCTCAAAGTTGGGTAATTAAACCGACAAATCAACATTATAACAACGCGTAACGAAAGATATAATATAATTATAAAACACTAAAATAATATCAAAAATCACCCCAAAATGTCGAATGAATAACTGTAATGGAGGACGGTTGGTTTATATACAGAACTGAACTAACCACATATCCGGCCGAGGACAGTTAAATGATGTGAAACAAAGATTGCTAACAAAGGATTTTTGCTAACGAAGGGTTTTTGCTAACAAAGGGTTTTTGTCAATTAACACGTTTCCGTTTTTTTTACGTTGTTTATAGTTCTCACGCCTTCTTGCAGCAAAATGATAAATTTAGCATATTTTTCAAATTTGATATATTTTCCCAACGTTTTAAATTCATCTCATTGTGATTGGCTTCAAAAACAAAAAACTTCAAAGATGGAACAATTTGTTATGTCAACAAGAATTTGACAGAGAGTGGCATAATTCATTATGGACAATTATCTCATTATGTTTCGAGTAATGTCACTGTAAATTGGCAGTGCAAGTGATGACTATTACGAGGCGAAGATGTCAATCAAAGAGGATTATAATCATATTTAGATTATAAAAGATACACCAAATTAGTTGAATGAAAAGTGCTGTGAGAATAAAGTCGGAAAATTCTTTTCTTCAACAATCTTATTTTTCAACAAATTATGATAAGTACTGCAATAGAAAAGTTTGAACAAATAATATATCTTTTCTAAATTCTTCTTAGCTATAATTGCATCAGTTCCAGAGAACAAAAAAAAAAAAAAAAAAAAAACCAAATGTTTTAATAGAACTAAAATTTTATCTTCTTCGGGATCAAAATGTAATTGTAATTGCATGTTTTATAGGACAGAAATAAGAGAAACCGGCTTGGCTGACAGTTTCTCTTATTTCTATTCTAACTTTCAGTTATTTCTTCTAAGATGGGAAGATCACTGATATTTAAATTTAGCCTTCTAATAAATACCTCAGTTACTGTGAACAACATTTTACTCTCCACTAATTTCACCTCTTAGGTAAGATTTATTTTAATTCAGTGATAATAAAGTGTTTATTTAGTAGATATTCCGGTTTGCAAGGGATTTTCTTAAGCTATTACGCATCATAAATATGTCACAATTCTTTTCGAGTTGTATTTCATAAAAAAGTCAACTATCGCTTTTATGAAGGACGCCAAATGTGAAAGATGGTTATGTGCTCTAGCCATCACTAACTGTTGTTATTTGTCATTGACCACACTATATGCCATTGACCACTATCAATGTAGAGAACTTCCTTCCCTCCTACAACGCTTACCGTAATTTATCCATTTTTTTGCTCTCACATTTTATGTTTGATTTCAAAAAAATTTGTTTTTTTTTTTTTCCTCAAACTTAACTGTTCAAATCCATTATTAACTTAACTGAAAATTAACGTTCGCTGTAAAATGTTATGCAACTGATATTGCATTGAAACTTAGCGATATCCAAATTATTTAACTCCAACTAAGAATATTTCATGCACTTCTCAGTTTCTATGAACTAATCGAGAAACATACTCACATGTTCTTTCTTATTTTCGATAAATTCGTTTTTGCATTCGATTTTATTCGATTTAATAAGATACATTTTTTTCGTGCTATGCGAATGATGCAAATATTACAATGAATTTCAACTAATATTATGGATATGATTTCTCGGATTTTCGGATGAAGCGTAGTTAAAGTTGGAAAACGATGTCGAAAATGATAGGAATGAGGAAATTCGTGAAGTCGATTAATTTGGATTCAGGCAGTATGAAAAAAATCAATCAATATTATTTCCAGCTGATAATAGAAAAAGTGAGGGAAATGAAAACTTTCTGAGGATTTAAAAAAGAATTTTCAAAAAATAGACTGGATTATTTTTGATACGCACTATGAAATTTACATCTTAAATTAATTAATTTTTAGGAAACTTTTGGAATTAAGAAGTTTTAAATATTTGTAATTGGTATTTTATTTTTCATCAAATGTCATTTGCTTCAAATATATCTTTGTACTAAAAACTGCAGCCATCAGAACGTGTATTAGAATTAAGAAGAAATGTCAAATCAAAATAATGAAAATTCATCGTTCGTAGAACTTTCAACACTAATTCTGAGCTAAATAGGTGAAGTCAAAATGGAATTTGAGGATTTGATTAGATGGATGATCACTTGGAAGGAAAATACCAGTGAGGACAAAAAGTGATCATTTGCTGTGCAAATATGCACATTCTGTTTGACACATTCTTCTGATAGATGAAACATTGCTTCAATGCTCCAATATTATACGTTTGATGATTGATATTCAACATATGCAAGCAGTTCAAATAAAAAAATCAGAGCATAAAAGTTATGAGAATCTGATTTGTCTCATATTCCGGTCATGTCTTGCTGATCATGTTCATATTATGTAGCATATCCAGGTGTATGAGGTAAAGCATTCCTTTTGATATAGAACATATTCAAGTTATTTATAAAACTTCTACAGATAACAGCTTGTAGGGTCTAAGTTATATTGTAAAGATATTATAAACAAACTTTAATCATTCACCAATATCTATCATTGTCTTTTAATAATGCAGATAAATATTAGAATTTGGAGTATATGCAAATTGCAATTTGTTTGTCATCAAGTATCGGACGATAATTTTTTTCAGAATATTGCCTTCAGAATCCAAGAAAATTTGTAAAGAAATTCAAAAGCCCTTAACTTTCTTATTAATGTTCCGGAACTAATGTTAATGTTAGATAAAAAAATTATTTATGTTACCAATCTTTTTGAAGTAATTCAAAAATTTAATACCCTAATGATAAGAATAAATTCGTTTTACCAATAGATCATTAATAGCCAGGAAAAGAATTTATGACCAACGTTCTTATGATTTTATTGATTTGCACAATAATAAATCAACGGGGAACAATTCACGTATAATTAGACAGTGCTTTGTGATCGTCACAAGTACGTTATATCTGTAAAGAGTGGCGCACTAAGTTGTGTACGTTATTATATTTCAGTTTTGATATAATTGGAAAAAAGTCTTATTACAAACTTAATTAAAAACTCAAAACTTGTTGATTTCAATGTTAACTCACAAGTAAATCATTTTGAGCTCATATTTTTAGAAAACATCTTGAAACTATTGATACTATTCTGGATAGTTCATGCTAAGCACCAAATTCGGGGCAGAGTTTCTTAGTTTCAGGATACTGATGATCCATGCGTTGTTTGAAAAGTTTTATTGCTATGTTAAATTGCGCTCGAGAATGCTTTTGACGTTTCTTGGTAAGTGGTAGATCTTTTACTGTTTTGATGCCACGATGTACCATAAATAAATCATTCACCAATGCAAATGTATAGTTTTGACGGCACATTTCCCAACGCTGCAAGGACTTATTATTGATTTATTATCATAATACGTTATAAAGTTATATATTTGCTGTGTCAAATATTATTACAAATTTACCTGCTTAAAAAATTTGGTATTTTTTCGAACAGTTGTTAGTTTTCAATTTAATTTGTATCTTAAGCTTGCGAATGTAACTTTTTACATGTAACTTTATTATTTTCTTATTTTTTATATGTCTTACAAAAAGATTTAAGAGAAAAACATAAATTATCTTTCCTAAAGGAAAAAATAACAACAGTTCAATTGCTATAAAGGGATGATGAAATGAAATGATTGACTAATTGGTTGATAAAGTGAGTGGCTAACTGACTGATAAATGGATTGTTTAAGTCAAATACTCCAGATAGCAAGTAAAGATAGTGTTTTGAGAGGAAATGTATAGTACTAAAGTTATCTTAATACTAAAGTTATCTTAATAACATTAAATTTAATTATTTTCGTTAACGAAATGATTTCTTTAAGACTTAAGGTAACTTTCTAAACTTAAAAGTTTAGCAAAAGAGTGATTAATTATCATTCACCATCTTTAATGATAAGCTAAGTCATTATATTCTATTTGGGGAAAAACCTGTTACTTCCTATGAACTAAAAGAGTAAATGTATTTATTTAAAGTTAACACTAAAAACGCAAAGATTTGAAAAAACCATTCCTACACCATTTAAGTCTTTTTTATTTCTTCATTTATAATATCTTAAAATAAGTTTGCGTGCATTTAACCGTTACTTTTTTTTTCGCTTTCGATATTTCTATTTTTTCTAATTAGTATATAAATAATGAAAAATAAAATAACTTACAAGAACTGTATTATCACGCAATGAAAATGGGAAATTTTCATCATGCAATGGTATGGTATTAAGGGAAACAAACTGGGGTTCCCAACCACGTCGTGAGAATCTGAAAAAAAAGTGAGTCAATGTTAGCAGATTTTTCTGCAGTTTACATTTATTGTAACTTGTGAGCTGTTTAAAATCCCTTTAAAAGAAAGTTTCTTTTTATAAAAATTTCGAAAAAGTTAATTTATAAAAAAGAATATGTTCTTCAAAAAAAAAAAAAAAAAACATTACTTTAAAATAGAATTTATATTGACTTCCTGTTTGTTCTCTTGTTTATTAAACCACTGATCCAAATGTGGAATGGTATGTTCTTTCATATTGTACCGAACATGAAATTCTACTGCTAATCCTTTGAAAAATAATTCTCGTAGTTCTGATTTATTACGTGGCATTCTAAATGATAAACATTTAAAGTAGTTACGTTATAGTGTTATATTTATATAATTTACAAGTTTAAACAAAGTGAGAAAAAGTACAATAGAGCTTAAGTTTTTGTTTCAAAAAGGAAAATGATAAAATGATTTAAGTGATTTAATCAGCATTTCATAGGATTATAATAACAAAATTAGTAATAAAAAGAGCCGACATGGCTTGCATCTTTTTTCTAAGCAAATAAACCTCTAAGATTCTATGATATATTTGTAAGAAAAAAGTGGAAATTTCAAAAAAAAAAAAATTAATTTTTGTATATCAGAAGGAAAAATTATTTTAAATTTTTTAAAAATATATGTTAGAAGAAATGCATTGTATTCTGCATGGTAGTGAGTTGTTGCGGTAGTTTCAATTAATTAATCAATTGATTGTGTGACAGCATAATTCATCGGACATTATAATATTTAAAATAAGGCAAAAAAAAAAAGTTTACACAAATGTACCTATAACCTACTGCTTAATGGTATCGTTTACTTCAAATATTCGTACAACAAGTGCTGTTTTTGGATTGCGCGTCAATTGATTTTGTGCAAGTGCACACATTCTGGATTCAAATTTTTCAGGAAAAATAAATTCCGAATCGCTGATTAATATATATTTTGATTTCACAAACTAAAATTAAAGAAATTAGGGAACTTTCAAAAAAATAGCACAAATTTAAAAATTAAAATAATGAATCCATTTCAAAACTGTACGCACTGTTCATCAATTCAGCATTCGTATCCAATTAACACTTAGTAATATAATAATTCCATTGAAATGTTTATCTCTTACTTACTTTTACTTTGCTAAATATTTCTATCAAAAATTATTTCAATAAATATACTTTGCTTACCATCCTTGCTACATTCCGTGCTACATTAATAGGATATCGCCATCCGCTGTTTGTTTCATTCAATTTATCAATTAAATCTTTTTTGCATCCATATTTAGACCGGAATAACACGTGAGCACTTAATTTATAGAGCACGTGAGAAGGAAAGTGTGACAACTGAAATCATAGAAAGTTATGAAAATTTGAAAAAGCTGTCATAGAGTAAAATTAATTAAAATCTTGGGCTCTTAATTGATCTTAATATTACCCAAACACATGCAGTTAAATTTAATTTGAAAATTCCGTTAATTTTACCGTTTTTTTAATGTTTTCTATCGTCTTATAAACCTGTACTGATGGTATTGCTACCATGAATGTCACTGGACCATCCCATGATTCAAGCTAAAACATTACAGTAGATGAATTGTTTCTTGAGCTCTAAACAAAAGTTTTTCAATCCTGTAGTTAAAACAAACAAGAAATAAAATTTAAGGAATGAATGCAATTGCATGAAATTGTTAGCTTGAAGCTAATTATTTATTTAAGCAAAATTAGTTTTTTCTTTTGTTTGAGTGTAACAATCATTCGATCAATTTCTCCCTTTTTTTTGCTTACCTTTTCATGCCAATCAACCACAACAGCAATCCATCATATTTATTACATTTTGAAATAGTAGTCTTACTGTACAAGTCAAAGTGTCATTTTATAATGTGTTCAACTTAATTTTCTAGTTTTTGTAAAGCAACTACAAGATCTATGATATGTGGAATTAAATGTATGAAAATAATACTTAAAAAATTTTGCAGTTGTAACTAGCGTCCGCAGTTCATTTAAATTTAAATAATTTATTCTTGAAGTAAATACCTGTTCCAAAATATTATCATTCAAATAGTTGTAGCTGATCTGTAAAACTAGCGTAATCCTTTCAAATATATTCACATTATTTTCCATATCGCTATGGCTCACATAAGGCAACACACAATAATCTTTATATATATAAAATCTGAACTTAGTAATGATTATAAAAGATATACACTTACTAAAGATGAAAAATGATAATCATTTATCAGTGAGAAAATTAATTATAAGATAATAACAAAATCAAAAGTTGCCATTGATTCTAGTAATATAAATATAATAATGATATTTAATGAAAGTATTTCTTTTGTTCTATCCATCGTGTTCATGATAAAATGCTAGCAAAATTATATATTCATTTTCTCATATTTAGTTATAATGAAAAATATATTAAACAGTGCAAATATTTTAGTGAAGTATTATGTATGTCATTTATATAGTGCACATCATCTTTCATAGACAAAACTTATCGGAACAATATTGTCAGTTTTTTTTTGTTTAATTTAGCTTTCTTTGGAATCATATAAAGTAATAAATCATATAAGCAAATGTAAGAATCATGTAAGCTCAAATGTCAAAATTTAGCGATAAGAAATCATGATTTATAAAAAATATTTAGTAAATATAATTTTTTAAACTAAAACATTACGCTAACCGTGAAATATCATTTTCATAATATTGATTACACACTGCAGTACCATCATCCAATTTGCTTATGATAATAACAGTTGAAAAGAATATTAATAAGGCAAAAATAAATCTTCCAAATGCTTTTTGCATTCTTCATTGAAGAAATAATTTGAAATATTTCCCTGTATTTCTGCTATAACTGTAGTTGTTTTCTGAAATGATAATGAAAAACAACAACAGTAATATAATTAATGAGTTAGATTAACATTGAATTTAGTAAAGCTCGAAAGAAAAAAAAAAGTATTTATCATTTCAAGAAAGAATAAAAATCAGACGAGAATCCTCTCTTTCATGTAAATTGTTTAAATTTCTATAACACAAGAAAAAACGAATAACTTTTCAAGCAAACATTTTTGCACAAATAAAAATTGCATATTTTATTGAGAAGAAATTTCAAAAAATTTATTTTAATTCTAAAAATTAATGAATAATATTTAGAGGAAAGAATATAGTGATGAGAAAGAAAATTATATTATAAAATAAAAATGAATCATATTTATTCTTTTTACAAGCATTTTCATAAGCTTTTCAAAAGATTTAATTTAAACTATTTAGAAAAATTCTTAGAATGAAGAATAAGGAAATACACATGAATAATTTTATGAGATTTAAAAAAAATTGTTGATATCATTGGAATTTTTCTTTTCTGCAGTTTTCTGCAGGAATTCACCAAAGCATCTCATTTAGCACTTGCTAATAATGATAACAAAATTAAAGTTAATGATTAAGCTTGTTGGAGCCATTTAAAATATAATTATCTTGTGTATCGTTATTAAAATCAATCATTGAAGAAACGATGTAACTGCTAATTTTAAAAATTATAATTAATTGAAATGATTGATTGACATAATTTAATGTAGAAATTGTTGATAGCTGTTAATTAAAAATTACCGGAATAGTCCAGAGTGCTTGATTTATTTAAAATTTAGATTATAAATATTCGTTTGGAAGTATGTAAATAGGTTTTTTGAGCTTAATTTGTTATTTTTAAATAGCTTTTGTTAAGAGATGAATAAAATTGATTGAAAAATTTCAAAATATGAAATAGGAAAAACAAGTTTGCTATTAAATATTTTTTAAATAAACTTATAAAATTATAATTGAAAGAAATCGAAAATGATTAATTAAGTGAAAAGTTTCAGTGAATTTTTTATTCATTTATTAAATTAGTTCTTTTGTCTTGTTTCGCTTTAATGAAATATTCAAAATAATTCCATCATAACTTACATTTTGATAATGTCGCTTATAAATTAGAGAAAAAAGATTTTTTCTCCTCCCTTGTACTGTGCAACATTTGGTGACACTAAAAATATTTTTCTTCCGTCATCTTCAAATTTTTCATTTGTTTTTTTTTTTCTGCTTTTAGTAGAAAATGGAAATGGATTTTTTGTTATATGTTTAAATATTCAATGTCTATTTTAAATTGAATAATTTTTCTAAAAAAAGTGTAATATAACTTATAACTAAAAGTAATAGCATAACAAGTTTCAGTAATGAGATAGAACTAAATTCATAGATTCAACTAAATTCGATAAATTAAATTCTTTTTGCAACTAAATTACTTTTAACTTACATAATTTTAAGTCATGATATGATGAGAAATTAACAATAAAATTAAAGCATTGACAGTTACATCTCATTACCTTATTCCAAACTTTTGGAGCACTATAAAAAAAACACATGGCATGGATGAAAAAGATGAATGTTAAAAATTTTTGATCTTTTAGTTTGAAAGTTTTTTAGATGAAAATTAATTCACATATTTCATATCTTATTTTTCAGTTTATTTTCTCAATATTATTAATCTAATGCAATAATCTTTTGATTAATTGTGTTAGTCAACTTCTTAAACAAAAATTCTAACCGAAATTTTTGAGTATTGTTTCAATAGGAAAATTAAAGTCTACTTTAGCAAAAACTGAAGAGATAAGAATGATTCAATTTTTTTTATAGATTGTGATATTGGAATATATTTACATAATATATTAAAAACAAATAAAAAGAACAAGTGCTGTAGAACATGTAATAAGACGAGGTTTTTTTCCCTAATAATTTTGTGAAATAAACTTACTTATTATAAAAATATTTGATTTTTTACTTTATTGTTTTTCTACTTTTTGAAAATTAATTGCTAATTATTGTATAAAAGAGTAGAGAGAATAAATACAGATTGGTGATAAGATAGAAGGGATTATTTTCATATATTAGAAGGTATGGAAATTTGAAAAGTACGAAATTTTGTCCAAATTAAAAATCAAAATTCAAAAAAGTTGTGCATATGTATTTGCTAGAGAGATCTAATTTTTCTTTCACATAATACATTATGCTATTGATGTATTTGAAGAATTGAGATTTTTAAAATAATCGTATGAATTAATTCGTCAATTGTTCCTAAACACTTCTGGTACAATTTTTGAATGCTAATTTTCCACTAATCTCATTAATTTTACTTTAAAAATGATATTTTTTTTGCTTTTCGTTTTTAATACTTCAGAAAAATCAATACTCATATGCATTTGACAAACAAAATTTCATTTGCTGCTTGTTTCGAAAAATATGTAAATGGAGTAATTAACCAGATAATATGGTCATTAGGAAAATTAATTTATTGTTATTGATCATGTTTCCCCGATATTACATTTCCACAATATTAGTAAAATGATAATGTGATAATGACTGATAGGCGATAACTTTATAAAATGTATGAAGCAGTATGTTAATTTGTATTTAATGATATTAAATAATCAATCTGAAAGAAAAAGGATAAGCAAGTGAGAAACGTAAGCTTAAATCTTAATAAATTTGTTATGCAAGAAAATATGAACAATTAATTGATTATGAAATTAGTTGAATTTATCAATGATGGATTAAAAAAAAACTCATAAAAATTGAATGCTTAAAAATATTACGTAAGCAATGACAAGATAAATAAGGAAAACTACCATAAAAAAAAGAGAAAAAAAATTTTGCGTGAAAAAAAATGATTTCTTTTTTTATTGATTTCTGATTAATACAAGATTAAAATGAAATATATTTTGGTGTTGAACCATTTAGACAATTGGAAAAAATGACTTAGTTATCTTTTCTAATCTTTTTTCTCTCATTTTTGCCCTCAGTTTTTAAGAATTTTTCAATTTTAAAATCTACAAATTTTTCCAACAATATATGAATTGGTAAAAAGTATTATAAATACAAAAATAGACTAAATTTTTACAGTGGTACAGTAAATCTGAAAATGACTGACATATCATAAATTTTAATTAGTTTCGTCACTCTTTAAGTTGAATAAATAAAAAAATAATCATAACTAAAGCTAACCTTTTTGTGATAAATTCAGCTAAATTTGCAACAATGTTCAAGTTGTTTATTTCAAAAAGTTTTACTTAACATCATCTATAATTCCAACAATAAACACAAATTTGCTAAATTTAACTCTTTTGGATAGTTTCAGAAATTTTTTTTCAGTCCACTGCATTGTTACTTTTGAACGTATAAAATCGATTTTAGTATTTTCTTAGTTTATCACTCATAATTCACATACTTGCACTGATATTGATAAAACATTGATAATGTGTTTCTATAATGGCTAAGGCAACAACACTGAGTTTTGATCTACTTGTTATGTGACATTTGGAATATGAATATTTGAATTAAATTGTTGCTATTAATTTATGTTGTGAATCAGCTGAATGCTAATACAACCTTGCAAAACGTTTCAATAAAGTGCAAAAAATTTATAAGAATTAAGAATACTGAATTAGTTACATTGTTTGATTTTCAAAAAAAAAAGAACAAATAATTATTTTTGTATTTATCAATAACAATATGATGACATTTGAGTAAATGTTATTTCATCAACTGACGTATAATTCCATGAATATCTTTGAATCAAAAATTAAACTCAAAATTTTCATTCATAATTAATTGGACTATCAGAATGCAGAAGAAAATAGCACAGGATCAACCTAAATTACTATGAAATAATATAGAGTTTATTTTTATTTATAAAATAAAATGTAGAAATTTAAAAATATTTATAAAATTACTGTTAAAGTTGAAATTCTCGGAAAATGCAAATCTGCTTTAATTGTAGATTTGAAACATTATAAGTAATAAATTCATTTTAAATAGTGAAAATCTGTTTTCTTTGATTCTAAAAGGTTGCAGAAATTATTTGCAAGAAATATTAGTGGAAAAAAAGAAACTTATAGCAATTTTTATTTTAATAAAAAGGAATTAGGTCGTTAGATGAGAATAAAAATAAATGTAAAAATTTTCACATTAGCAAAATTAATCAATTAAATAGTGAAATTAACTTTAACAATTGGACAGAGAAACAATGTAAACTAAAATATCAAAGATCGAAATTTTAATATGAATTGTGAAAGTTAACAAAAATTTTTGTCTTTTGTTTTTTTCTTTCTTATCGCTATAAAAAACTTATGAAATTAAATTAGAATCATTATTATAATTGAATGATAAATCATTATCACTAATATAAATTGATGAAAGAAAAAGAAATATAAACTTTTTATTTGTTTAGCAAACAGAAAGCAAACGTTACCATAATTGTGTAAACACAAGAAAAGCGAATTTTTTTTCCAATAAATATTAGTTATGGCTGATAAATTATCATCATGCTATTCGAATCATTATAGTAGTCGAACTATAAATTTATTTTTTTTAATTATATTTTTTTAGTTAAATAATTAAATAATAATGTTATATTTTTTAAATTTTACTTAAACACTGAAAAAGCATTCATCTTAAATTTTTTAGGAATTAAAAAACACTGTCGTATTTCACAAAGATTTTTCAAGAATTAAAAAATTCCTCCGAAGAAATTAAAATTGTAGAAGTTCGATTTGGTTGCCAAACATATGTTAACAGAAAATGTTTCATAATAAATTTGAAAAAATTTGTTTTGTTAATGTAAATAAACACAAATATTTTTTTTTTTGGCAATGTAAATATAAATATTTTTAAGATTTTAAATAAGAGATAAAATCTAAGATTGCCGAAAATCAAATTTCAAATTCTTTTCAAAATTCTTTTTTTCAGAAGTTAAAAAATCCAGCAAAATTAGCTTG